GTTGAGGCAATGAAACTCCCAAGGTATTAGCTGCTATTTACCCGTCTTATTTGTTATGCTGACATTTTTATGCTTCTATCAGGAATGATCAATCAGGCATATTGTTAGTGCAGAGGTGAAGGTACATGCCAGTCTTAACAGCAGTTTCCTTGTAGTTTGCAAAGAGTGAGGGGTAAACCCTGAAATGCAAAAGTTTGGTTCAGCTGAACATACCTCTGCTAGATGTCTGTGAAACTTACCTGCCACCCTTTAAGCTTGTTACTTTCACAACACAATTCTGTAATTACTGACTCCACAAGCAAGAGAACAACAGCTGTTCTTGTGATATTTTAATACCACTGGATTAGGAGAGGTAAGAAATCCAGAGGTGTATGACAGTTTTGAAAATACCAGTTTCAGTATTAGTTTTGCTCAAAATGAGATTGTTTTCACCATCCCTAGGCAAAAAAGACATGGACTAGAATCCAGAAGAAAAACTGGGCGAAGGCCACGGTCACCAGGATTATTCAATTCAGAAGTAATAGCTAATTCTTGAAGAAAAATGGTGCTATTTACAACAGTTGAGATGGACACAGAGTAGCAGAGGAGTAGCTAGCATAGTAGTTGACTGGAAAACTGAATTTCTGGAACACTTTTTAAAATAAATTCTCACCTTCAGCCACAAGAAGAAGACAGACATTTTTTTTTTTAATGATCTGCACTATCTATCAAAGATAAGCTAAATATTTTATTACAATTTTCTAATTACCTTCATTTCCTGATTTTTACCACTGAAATGGGGAAAGACAGACATCAAGACGTCATAAAACTGCAAGAATTTGCAGTTCCAGGTTCCCTGCTTGGGAAGCAGCTGAGCGGTTCAGACAGCAAGCTAAGAAAAAACAGGCAGGTTTCATAATGTTTCCATGAAATCAGCAAGCTCTGATGCAAATTTTGCTTCTTTATTCTTTTGTACTTTGCAATGGGAATCTCTTTCACCTTAAAATATCTATGCAATAGGCAAAAATTGAGTAGTTCCTCATGTGGCTTATGAAGCTAGCAATCAAGCCATCACCTGCTTTTCTTCATTGCTTTTAGAAGGGACTAAAAATCTAACAAACTCAAATTAGGATAGGGCTCTTGGATTTGCTGGAATAACCTCCTTCTCCAGTTTCGGGGGCCTCATTGGAGGAAGGACATTGATAAAGAACAAAACTATTCAGAGAAGAAAATATATGCAATGCAGGGTTGCATGAAGTCACTGGGATCCATCTGGGGACCATCACTCCTCCAGGGATCGAACAGACCAGGAATATGGACAGAATTAAAAAAGGAAGAGTGGCTGGAGCTAACTTATTTATTTCATATTTACAACAGATTAGGAGTAGGAAAACATGTAGGGTCAGTTCCAGTCCTATGAGAAGCATGTCTCACTTGAGGAATGGTAAATTGCAACATGTTATCTCAGCCCATTATAGTTGCCTGGCTTATCCTTGATTACTGCACACAGATCTATAGGATTGGGTTTAGAGATTTAGGAGACACAGCATTCAAGCAAGGGAAAGCAAATTTATTTTTTTTTTTAATTACCTCTATTAGCATGATTAAATGAAAAATATGTTTAAAACTATCTAGGAGCTCATTATTTTCTTAATACTTAATATAAAGCTGACAGTGAAATTAAAAAGCTATAAAGTAAACAAAAACATTTGTTCTGTACGTGGTTACCCGTGGAATTCATTGTCACTGAAGGTCATAAGTGTTATGCTGTGGATTTTTAAAGGTCTGGATAGTGACCATATATAGCATCTGCAATGTTGTGACACAAAGTTGGTAATATATTCTACCTCAAATTTTGGCATAATCTGATTGTGTACCAGGTTCAATGCAAATTTTTTTCTCTTTTACTTCAATAATCAAGATTCTAGTCATACTCATTTTTGGAATGTTTCCTCTATATCTGTATCTCTTCCCCCAAAACAAGCAAACAAACAAGCAAACAAAAAAACAAGCAAACAGAAAAAAAATGCAGGAAAGAGTGAAAATAAATTCTCTTAGACTGTGGTTTCCCCTTTATAAACTCAAAGTAAGTCCCTCCACTTCTCTGTAAAATAAACAGGGCTGAAGAAACTCTGAAGTGCCTTATTCATGTGAGGAGTTACAAAGTGAGACCTTCAGACTGTTTTGCAGACACTGCAGATTGCAGTGAACCATGGGTGGTTTTTCATCAGCTTCAGGAATTTTTGTTCTTAGTCCTTAAATCCCACATAGGCATCTTCCATTGTTTGGAAAAGGGATTTCTCCTAAATAGCTCAGAGAAAAACTGTCACATACTCCTAGCTCATGCTGTATTTTGTTTTTGCACTGGTGGCTGAGATTCATGGACATTTCTGTCATAGTCTGCAGGGTTTGGACATTCTACAGAGATGGCAGAGGAAGAAGTTGCCACTTCGGATATTCATTCTGGCTAATTCAGTTCCATGTCTGTCCATGGACAGGAATACTTGCTTCAGAGAAGAGCCACAGACAAGATAGGTGTGGAACAGTATGTTTTACATGGACTGCTCATCCTGATTTCCAAATATTAGACTGTTCCAAGAGCTGAAAAAAAAGTCTTTTCTCTTTTCCAGTCTTATCTAGATGCACAAACACTGGGTCCTCCTTTGAATCTTCTTAAATTCTTTACTTCATGACATGGAAGTTGATTTCAATTAACACTGATCTTGATTAATTTTCATAATCCTAGCTGAGCCTTTCTCTCAGCTCATGTGTCAGGTATAGAACACTTCATGGGCTAATGATCCGATCTAGTCTGTGAAGTCTAATATCATTATAGCTGTCAACACAAGAGGGTTGAGGAGAAAGAGCACCATCTTGACAATATTCCTCAAAAATGAAAAAAAAAAAGTTTTCTTCACACAGCTATGGATTTATAATTGTCAACCACAAATTCATAAAATTAATGGGAGGATAAAAATCTCACACAGAGGCTCTGGAGAACACAACAGTTCCTGTACAAGCTCTTTCTTTTTGACAAAAATACTGAAGACCCATCTTGGACAAAAATAACCCTGTCTTGTTGGAGGAAATAATAATAATGATAATAAAAAAAGAAGCTTTATTAAAGCTAAGCAGAATGTGACACATCCAGGAATGAATAATGCCCAAGGAGACCTCAGGGTCACAGTGGGCAGTGAGTCAGACGTTGACAATGCAATATGGCAGGAAGAAAGAAAGCCTGCAAATGTGGTCTGTCATAAAGGAGAGATAGACTGTGTCCAGAAGGCTCCTATGGGAATACTCTGCAAATACTCACTGAGCTCCTGACCTGTCATTGTCAGGGGTATTAAAAAAATGGAAAAAAAAAAGATATCTAGAGATCAAAGGAGAGCAACCAGAACAATCTGCAGGCTGCAAAAATCCAGCTGTGCGAAAGATTAAAATGGCAGTAGCACCTAAGTGGCTTTTCTGGATGATTTGCTTAAGCAGAGTTCACAAACACTTGGAAATCAGAATCCAGCCTCTTCATACCTCTTTGGCTTTTGTAGGTATCATACTGAGTCCTCACAAGCTCACTGTAGTGCTGAAGAACTCCTGAACACAGTGACTGTAGGAAAAAGGACCCCAGTACTAGTTTCAGGGATAAGAGCTATGCTGTGGAGACGGTACTGCAGCACTGCAGAAATTACAGCACAAGCAGCAAAACTGTTACCTGAACTGCTGCTGCTCGGAGTATTTAAATTAAACTAAAAGCTTTGAAATGGTCCTGAAACAGCAGGACACAAAGGTGGCTTAGAGCCAGCACAGACCCATCCTTAAGATATACAGCAAGAAGAAATTGTGAGAGATGGGTAGGAGGAAGGGAGGAAGGAAGGAAAAGGAGAAGAGGGGGAAAAAAAAGAAAAAAAAAAAAGAAAAGAAAAGAAAAAAGACGTAAGATTGACTAGCAGGGGGAAAAAATACATCTAAAGGTCAAACTTAAGATTGGAGATGTGAGATTTAAATGGCAAAAAGCTTCTTGCAACATTTTCCATGATTCTTAAGGGGACACTGTGCAGCTGAATTGGAGCGGACTTGTCAGGTAAATAATAAACTGTCAATTTCCATCTTGTCATTTAATATTTAGATTAAAACACCTAATGCTTTATTTCAGGTTAAACTTTGAGATGGGGGGGGGGGGTAGGCTGTACAACATGCATGTGTGTAGAGGGGCTCCGGGAGTCCCACAGCAAAAGCAGAGATTTCAGTTTGTTCTGCATTAAGATTAGTCATAACCTCGTGAGTGAGGAGCCCTCTGGGAGCACAGGGCCCAGGCAAAGGCAAGCACCTGGAAAATCCTCCTCCACCGCTTTCCATTCACATAGGAACAGCTACATGTGATCACCTTCACAAAGTGTCATCTCCATTAATAATTCACTGAAATTCTTGATTCATCAAGTCCAGGAAGTTCCTGGGAAGTGTGGGAAAAGACTAGCCGGGCATTTTTGGTGTCAAGGGGACTTAGAACCGGCTCCGAGGATGAGAAGCTGCACAGCACAAACACACAGTTTACAACAGAGAAGCATGCCTCTCCCTCTTCTTTAACCCCCCCCCCCAACCCCCCCCCCCTTCCGCCCCCGATTTTGTTCTGCTCTTACTGTCACTACCCAACGATTAGGAGGAAGCTGGCTGCTCTCCACCTCCAGCACGAAGCGGCTCTCGGGGGGAAGGGGGGCTCCCTAGCACAGCCCTCCCCCTCTGCCCTCCCACCTCATTCACTTGCAAATTCCTGTGTGCACGGAGTAGCCGGGTCCGCGCCCGCGCTCGCTCCGCGCCTCCCCGTCCCCAGTGCGGCAGCTTCCACGCTCCGGCATCCGCAGCGCCGGCGCCGGGATTGCGTGTGAGTGTGTGTATGAGAGTGTGTGTATGAGAGTGTGTGCGCGCCTGCCAGGGAGGCAGGCAGAGAAGGAGGAGTTTGGTTTTTTTTTTTTTTTTTTCCTCCTCTCCTTTCCCCCCCCCCCCCCCCCCCCTTTTTTTTTTTTTTTTTTTTTTTTTTTTATTAATCAGGAGCACTGAATGGAAACCAATCAGATAGAGAGCCCCCTCTGCTCGGGCTGCCTGCATGCTGGAGTTAAAAAGTGCTGCTGGCCGAGAAGGAGCCCCAGTGAGAGGCGGGGAGCCTGAGCGAGCACCGAGGAGAAGGGGCCAGGGAGCCACCGCCGCCGCCGCGCTGCCGACCCGGGCGAGGCTCGGCCCCGCCGTCCGTGCTTGCCGGTAAGGAGATGCGGCTTTGCACTTCTTCAGGAGCAACTTTCAGCTGTCGGATACCTGCCCCCTCCCTCTTCCTTTTTTTTTTCTTTTTAATTCTTTTTGCCGTGCTCATTGGGAATGCTAATTAACGGGGGGAGGATGGGAAAGTTGGCAGCTGTCTTGTGGAGGGCTCTGCACCCCACTGCCGCTCCGGGGTGTTCCCCCCCGGGGCTCCTCGCAGTGCCCGGCGGCTCAGGGGTGTGCGGCGACTGCGCTCGCTGTCATTTAAAGTCAGGCGGAGGGATGTGGCGTTTTCCTGGGAACTGTTATCGCCGGCAAGACGCTTCGGTCAAGGGGAGGTGATGGGAGCAGGAGGAGGGTCGTGTGCGTTTGGAAGGGAATACCAATACTAATGCTAATGCTAATATTAATACTAACAACAGGAGAAGCTTGATGGATAACTAAAAAATAATAATAGTTAAATCTGTCTCGGTTTCTTGGCACTGCCTACTTGCTGTGAAATGGATACAAGGCAAAACCCTCCGGATCATGAGCAAAATCCGAGGCAGAGTGCAGAGCTGAATGTAGAGCACAATTGAAATTAGGCGCTCCCGCAGAGGAAAGAAGGGGGCAGAGGGAATAGATCTGGGGACGTTACAGGATCTGACAAATGTGAAATCTTTGATTTGATAAAAGAACGGGTTGGGGAGTGATGGAGGTGGTGAAAGATAGGGGGTAGGCGTACAAGCATTTTACAGGAGAGAAGTTAGATAATTGCAGAAAGAAAGTGCTGAATTTGGTTATGTTGTGAATGTTTCTAAGGAGCTGATAACATTGTATGTCAGATAGATTGAACGATTTATGTATTCACATGTGTACAACACCTACATGCACACATAGGGAAACCAATACACAGTGTGTATACTATATACATATATTCTTATGCAAAAGATTCACTTGAGAGATAAACAATAGCAGTGGAGGTCAGTGACTGTGGAAAGAAGTCTTGTCACTGCTGCAATAAAATCCATATTTTACAGAGAGTTAAATGCAGTGCTTCCTAAGTGCAAGTGAATGGTCACCTAAGTAACTCCTGATGACATTCAAGGATCAAGAAGTTTAATGACTGAAATTACTCCGAAGCACGATGGCAGAGCTGCTACTTCTGCACCCATTGAGATGATAAGACACCTTTTCCCTTGTACTTGTGCACGGTGATGGATTTTAAAGTTCTATCAGCACTGCATGGGAGATTGTCTAGCAAAAATTACTTACAGAGTGTAAGGTTGGTCCTTTCTCCAAATTTACTGTTCTTCTAGCACAGCTGGAATAGAGAGTACTGTTGCTTCTTGTCTATTCAGGAATCTGTGAGGATGGTACATGCATCCTACATGTGTACTTCATGAGCTATATTCATGAACATATGCACAAGGGGAACACTACAGTCGAGCAAGGTTATTTCCATTCCCTTTGATCATAAGACCTTATGATAATAGCACCCTGGAAATAATATAATTCCAAGGGAATAAAACTGCTTGAACATACAGACCTCTATGTTTTCAATCAAAACAGACATAACTCTCCAAATCAAGATAAAGACTTATCTCATGTATTTGCTGGACTTAGATCTCTATTATGGAGTTAGTTCTGCACAGAAGTGCTTGCATATTACTTAAAGCATTCCATAAAATTGTTTAACATCTGTTCTTGGGCAATATAATGCTATGGGTAATGGTACATCCCTATTAATTTTTTTTTTCAAATTCCTGTTTAAAGGCAGTAAGTTTGCATGTCACAAGAGAGTCGGGTAGGGCTTGGAGGCTTGTGATCAAGACTAAGTAGATTCCTTTATCATGGATATATACAGTTTTAAAGGCCTGTCAGCAATGACACAATTGGATAGCTCCTTTAAACAGCCCAGACATGCTAATAGAGACTGCAAGGCTGAATCCCTTTTTTCCTCTTCTCTCAGATTTTATCTGACACAGCACCAGTAAATATATAATCTCACATGCTTCTGGCTTTCAGCTGAACCATAATCTTTCTGGACATACTTCTAGTGGCTTGTAGTTGACTTTTGAGATGGGTGAGGGAGAGGGAAAGCAGCCAGGCTGTTCAGAATAGTGTAATCAGAGGCAGCAATACCTTTTTTTTTTTTTTCCCAGGGAAAATGGCATTGATTCAGTCCTGTTGTAGTTCTCTGCAATTATCCTTTGCAGCCATCTAAGGAGCTGGGGTCCCCATAGGGACTTATTAGTCCCTCTAGGTGTTTTAGTTTTCACACCAGTTCAAGTTCTTGCACATCTCCGTGCCAGTACTCCAAAAATTACATTTACAGACATGGTCATTATTTTCTAACCAAGTTGTTCAACTAGAAATATGCATCTTAATTTCGGCATCTTCCTTCCCTCCCTCCCTTGCACATGCAAACGGGAACCTGCCGTTCAAGCCAGCCTTCCCTTTCATAAAGTTTGCATTTTGCCATCTGCTGTTTCAATAATATTTAGCTGAGAGACTTCCTTGAAAGCAAAACACACACGTTAAAAAATGTTCTGGGGTTGTGTTTGTTTTTTTTTTTTTCTCTTCCTTTCTGCTGAAGATCTTGAAACTAATGCAAACTTGATAAAAGTTACGAGTGTGCCTGTGCTCTCACCAGCTGATACCCTGCCAGAGCACCTTCTCTCTGCAAGCAGTCCTCTACTCAAAGGCTACACTGGGTTCCTTGGGGAAGGATCCTCCCTCCCATCCACTATTCCCTAAGGTCTTTTACATCATTTTTGCTTTGACTGAAGATTTCAGCACACCAATCTGCTGCTCATTAATAAACTCCTGCAGTATTTCATGGCTTGGAAGGAATTGCTATTGTTTTTTCCAGCGGATGTCTGTGTCCTGTGTAATGGTCAAGCAGATCTAGGGGGCATCAACATTTATCTGTTGTTGAATGAAATGGCGGGCTCCGTTTCCTGCTTACCTGAACTTTTTAGCGTGCTGTCTGCATTTTGTTGACTTCTTTCAAACTATGTTCCCTTTCCAGTGCAATCTTGTAGCATTATGGCTCAAGACGGTCAGGAAATTGCTTATGGATCTCCTTGGAAATGGTGGCTAATTACTAAAATGAAAGGTAGCTGGAATCTATAAAAACAAGTGGGTAGAAACCATTGGAAACAGCAGTTCCCACTGTGATGGTGCCTCATCTTGCATAATGGTTGCAATTCCTCTAGTGGCTCTGCTGCAATTATACCAGAATAAAGTAGAATTGGTTTTCAGTACCTTTTGATTACCATAAGCGTGCTGGAAATGCCATGGAAGGACTGTTCCTTGGAAGCTAGGTGGTAGGGAGGCTTCTTCATTAACCTCTCAAAGACCAGTTAGCCACAGTAACTGTTCTGATTTCTTAAAAGGCTTTGCATCATTTAGGGTTTGCTTCTTTTTTTTTTCTTTTTATCTGAATTATTACTTGGCTTCATAACTCTCAGAAACAAGGTCTGATAGACTTAGTTGTGATTATCATGACTGCCATGTGGGGCCAAATTCAGGACCTTTTCAATATGAACCTTTAAAGTGAGTCCCTCATTCTGCATGTGAAGTTAACAGTCCCTTTGTTATGCCAAACCCAGTCTCTTCTGCTGACTCTATGCATGATTCAACTTGCAGTATAAACAATATTCTCAAGTTTAAATGTGTTCTGGTTGAGATAAAAAACCAGTAGCAGCTGGTTTGCTCATGCTGCTTGCTTAGTCATGGCAGCCCTTTCAAGAGGTCTGGAGAAACTAACTCGGTGAGGAGAAAGGTGTTATGACATCCCGCCTTCTTTCATTTGAGATGGGGACAGCAAAGTTGTAGATGGAATGTTCAGTGTGATTAAACGTAGAGATTATCTGTCTTTATTGCTTAACAAAAGGTACAGGGTAGATTATTAGTCCCTGTCTGAGTTTTAAAAACACCTTCAAAGAATGCATAGTTAATGCAAAACATCAGCAGAAAAAGTCATCCTTTCTGGTTTGCACTGTGAGTGATGCTGCAGTGGAACGAGGTGGAGAAAGTGCTGGATAAAAGCATTTTTAAAGTTTGAGTTTGATTACTTCACTTCCATTTGAGTTTTTCTTGCCCTAAATATCAGCCTAAAAGCTCCTTTCTCATCCTTCCCCAGTGACTGGCCGATATCTGTTGGGAGTCCATCCAGCCTTGGGTTCCTAAGCTTTTCCAGGGCACTGCTGTGTGTCCTCATCCTGATCACCCATTTAGTGGCTTCCCCTCTCTATTTCAGGCAGTGTTACCTGGCCTTGCACCCATGACCACCTCCTGTACCTACTCCAAGTGTTGCTGGTGGCCAGCATTTTCTTCCACTTTATTTTGTCAATTGTGCACTTGGCACTGGAAGGACCAAACAAATACTGTGAATATTTCTATTATGCTTTTGTTTGTTAACACAAACATTCCCAGAAAAAAAACTAGGATAACTGTAATTTAGGACTGTTTTGAGTGGTGTGAATTAATGTTACCGGTTGGTACATCCAGTCTCATGGAGCTGCCCACTCCTCAAGTATTTTACTTTTTCAAAACAAGCCAGAAAAGACAGTTTTTCCTGCCGCTGCAATCCCCTTAGGAGCAGGGAGGAACAATACAGATGGGGAAGGGAAACTTCGTCTTTCTGGTGAGGGAAGCCTGGGAGCCCTGCCAGGAGGGAAAAGGCACATCTGGCATGGTGTCCTTCATGAGTTCTGATGTTGGACCTCCAAAAAGAAGCTTTAAGTGGAAAAGTGCTTAACTGTGACAGTGCCAGCGCACTTGGTAGCACTGTGCTGAAACATCCAAGATTACACTGATACTGCATTATCTTTCCTCACACCCAGCCACAAGACACCATCTCCGTATTCTCCTCTTTGCCAAGTACACAGACAGAAAAGCGTGTACATTTCCATCTGGTTGCATTCAGGAACAGTGCCAAACTTGCTATGTTTTAAGTAACCTGTTCTATAATGGCTTTATTCTGGTGTTGTGGGCAAATATTTTATGGATTAATT